TCCACTGTCCGACGATGTTTTCCTTCAGTGTTAGCAGCTCCCTACTCACACTGAGAACAGTGTTAGCAAAGCACTGCTTTCCCCTCCTTAGACGCTGGATGGTTTAACTGAATTGCTTTGAATTGCAATTCTGGCAGTGCAGATTAATGTGGGTAAAACTACCGTTTGTGCTGTTTGGTTTTTTTTTAAATACAATTAATTTTTATTTTGGCCAATGATGTCACCACTCAACCGTAACGTTAGTGCTGTGCTGGTTGTTTAAGAATATTTAGTTCATCTGCCAACAAGATCCTTCAATTTGGATTTGCAGTTACCCCCTGGCAACTTCATAGCATTTTTTGTCACGGTGTCCCTGTTGGGCACTTAACAATATAAGCACAGTTGAAACATAACATTACAGTACATAACATTCACCACTGGCCGCTTCACTGCTCAGTTTACATAAGTCCGGCGTACACTGTGCGATTTTCCGGCGATTTTCCGGCCAAATTTAAGCCTGTACGTGCATCGTGGGTCGTGTAGTGTACAGGGGGTAATGAGGGGTTATCAGCCTCTCATGACCACTTCCTGATCAGTAATCATGAGGTCGTGGACAAATCGCTCTGTGCGATTTGTCCACGACGGTTGGGAGAATAAATTAAAACAACCATCGTGGGCAAGTCGCTCAGTGTGCATGCGCAAACAAGGATTTTCCTTTTTCTTCTTCCTCTTAGATGTAAACACAGCAGCATGGTAGGGATTAAAAGAGTGAAATGGAGTTCTGTCTGTAAAATTGAGAGATCGTAGTAGCCATGTTTGCTCAGCTATGTCTTTGTCCAAATAAGTCTTATCCTTTTCTTGTTAGGGCTTTCAGCACGAAATTGCACAAATTGCCAAGGCAGCACCTTTCACTCTAGTGAGCTTCATATTCCCCTTCTATTTGTTTGGCTTCCGGATAGACGAGTCAGAGGAGCTCTATCTCACTGTGGAGCTGAGTCCGACGTGCTTTTTAGACGTACAGTGTGAGCAGGTAGATCACATGAGGGAACCTAAATCGTGAGCTGTGAGCTCACACTATAAGACTAACCGCAGGGTTTAGTCGTACAGTGTGAGTAGTACTGAAAAAAATCGCACAGTGTACGCCCGGCTATAGGCATACTATGTAAATCAACTGACCTCGTCTGCAAACACTCCTTTTTTTTGTGAATGTAACTTCAGACTTCTCCTATTTTCTCAAACCACAGCACTTCTCTTTACAAAAGATCTCAAGAGGTCCACAATTGGACACAGCGGTGCTGCAGTAATAACCTTACTGTGAACACCATTAAGATCAAGGAGGTCATAGTGGATTACAGGAGGTCTAAGAAGACTAAACATGTTTCTCTCTGCACACATAGGAAAGTGGAATAACCTTTGTACAGCATACATTTCCCCAGCATCCACATTACCTCTGACCTCTCCTGGAATGAGAACAACTTCCACCTGGTGAAGAAGGCCCAACAATGACCATTGTGAGGACAGCACAGGGGAGTGCTTTCTACCATATGTGCACAAAGTTAATTCAACACAAGTTTAGAAAAGGAAAAGAAGAACTGATACAAGTCCCTGCCCACCTGTACAATACATGTTGTCCCACTTCTGTCAGGAAAATGATACAGGAACAAGAATTTGGGCATGAACAGACCTAAAACAGTTTATTTCCTAAAGCTGTGGATATAATCTCCCCCTTGAGACAAAGAGACACCCTACCTTAGAAATACTCAAGCAAGATCCCATATACACATAAACATTACTACAAACAATCATACACTATCCTCCCATTTTACAGGAAGCTCTGGCACAAGCTGCACTTTTTGTAAATATTATATCTTTCATTTGGATGTACAGAATTTTTTTATATGCCTCTTTAGTTCCTCTACAAATGCTTCTAATTTTTCTTCTAACAGTTTAGTTTAAATATTTGGTGTTTTATCTCCTAAGGGTGTTTTATATTTCAAGGGTCTCCTCTAATTACTTTCTTTTTCCACAGGTTTTTAATTTCTGTCTGTTCTATACCTTCATTCTGAGTCCTTCAGAGTATTCATGTTTTTCTGTATCTGTAATTAGTCTTTTCTAAGAGCTGTGTGTTTAAAAAAAAGTTTCTTTAACAGTTATTATCAAAGAAATATATTAAATTACAAAAACTAAAAAAAATGTTGACTGCGGAGTAAAAAATAACCTGAGTATAAAACCTTAAAAAAAACACTGAACATGTTTTTCAATTCTTTTGTATAATGTAGAATATCAGAATAAATTTCTGCATGTAATGTTAAGCAACATCCAGAATTATCTGACAAGACTTAAAGAGAACCATTTGTAGCACTATAAACATTATAAAGACATTTTTAATTAGCTCATGACAAAATCTGAAGGGTTGTGGAGAATATTTACTGTTTGAAGGCAGACCTATAAATATGCTCTCATCTTTAATAACAATCACACGGTAATGAAAAGAAAAGGAACCTTGCATTGCATTATGCAAGCTAAATAATGCCTTACAGTTAAGTAGTGCAGTCTTATTTTACTCCAAGAGATAGCTATCGGCTTTCTTTTTTACCCTCTTTACCTAAAGAGCTCATCTGTATAACTGTTTCTGTCCTTAGGCAGAGCCACATGTGGAGCTGGTCTATCATTATTTTCTCTGTCATAGAAAGTATTCCCGGCTCAGTGCTTCTGTTTTCCTTTTGTGTGTCTGTTCTGTTTTTCTAAAACTCCCAGTTGGATGTGGCAGAAGGCCATTCACATTGAGCCTGGGTCTGCTGGAGTTTTTTTTTAGTTAATAGAGGAGAAATATTTTCCTCTCCGTTGTAGCAACATGTGTGCTTGGAATTAGGGAATGCTGCAGAGTCAACCACTCAGTGTAAGCCACTGTCTGCTGTCGATACATGCTCATCCAGGAGGGGGGAGTCCTGCAAAGTCAATGACTTGATGCAATCAGCTGGATTTTCTTATAAAAAATGTTAACCAATCTGTCTGTATGATTTGATTGCATTGCCTCTGTGAAGTGCTTTGAGATGTGTTGCAAATTGTTGATATATAAATACAGTTGAATTGAATATTAGATGAGAATTTGACTCAGTGAGGAATCAGAATAGTCAAACGTAAATAAAATAACCTTTTTAAAATGGCAGTAAGCTAAGAAAGTTAACACTGGTTGAAACGGTAAGATGTGAAATTAAAAAGTTGACCGGTTTGAACTTTTGAAAAGTGGTTCCTCTTACACTTAAAAATGTACAGTGTTTTTGATAAAAACTTTACACTCTGCTGTATGTGGATTTCTTTTCTTTTTTACTGACAGAGGAGTGAAAAAGGCAGCAGGAAGTCAGGATTTGGACCAAATCCTGCTGAGCACCACAAAGCTTGTTTTGTTGGCATGGTGAGATAGCACACGGTTGGACATGCAGCGTTTCCCTATAATTGTCCAATTGCAAACTTGTTATACTTTTTTCCCACTGTGTCAATGCAGGTGCATAGATTATAAAGAGAAAGTAATTTAGGCCTAGATTGGTGCAGATTCTTGAAATCAAATACTGCATTAATGCATTTATAGAATAAGAAAAAATACGTAAGAAAATTTGAAATTGTTGATGTTTTTCAGTATTGCAAACAAAAAGTGTATTTCATTGGAATATATTTGTGATAATCCAACACAGAGTAATTCATAAATATGGAGTTGAAGCAAATAAGTGGTGGTTTTAAATTTATTTTTAGAAATAGAAAGGAGTGAAGTGTTTATTTTCACACCTTTTTATATCAATATTTCAAGTACAATTAGTTACTTTCAGAATCTACTAATAAGCAAACAGAGACAACTTGTGTGAATTTCATCTCAGTAGAAGGATATATTGTAGAACATTAGAGAACATACAGCATCATGACGACCAGGAAGAGCAGCAGGTCAGGGATGAAGTTGTAAAGTTGTTTGAATCACAGTTCAATTATAGACCTCTTTATCAAACTGTTATCATCTCATAAGGCATTTTTCAATTAATCACCTAAAAAAACTAAAAGAATAGCACAACAGCAAGCCTATTAAGACTTGTTGGCTCATTGAGAGCATGACTCACTGGAGCATTTTTCTACAAACGTAGAGAAGAAGGAGCTCTGGTGAGAAGACATTTTGGGGGTTAAGCTTAGGAAAATTCTACATGTAATGAAAATCTAACAGTAAATCATGGTGGGATTATAATGCCATGAGAGTATTTTCTTACCCCAGTGACAGGGAAGCTGGTCAGAGTTAAGGGTACGCTGGACTGAGATAAATGAAGAGCAACAATGCATAATATATTCATGCGGAATAAACAGATTTCATTGTTTAACTTCAAAACTTTTTGAAATCTCTATAAATGCTCAAAGAATTATCTGTTTATCTAAAGAAGATAAACAGATAAAATAAAAATTCAAACTTAGACCACTGGTGAGTTGTGATAGGGCACCCCTTGTTGTACTTGAGGGCCCCCCGGTGCCTTCGGGCATCACGTTGGTGATCCCTGTGCTAGAGGCTGGGAAAAAAACTCCCTGTGAAGTGGAGGTTAATCCCCCTGCAGGGTGATGGCGCTACACAGACAGCCAGAGCTTAGCATATGTCATTAGAAGAGCCCAGTCAAAGTCCAGAGATATATTCAGCTGAGAAGCTGTGCAGTATTTAAAAAAAGATGTTCCCTGGCAGTCTCCACTTAGTATGACTAAGCTTGAGCTACTTTCCAAATCTTTTTGCAAAGCTGTCAGAGTCATAGTCCAAAAGACTTGCAGTTGTATTTGCAACAAAGGCTCTGAAGGAGATGGATGAGGATGCCCTTCACAATAATCAGGGAATCTTTTGTAAAAAATCAAAAAGAAATAGTTAAGCACGACTATGTCCTACTTTATACTAGTATGAGTTTGGGGTTAAGCAACATAACGCTAAAGTAACGCTAAATCCTCTTGGAAAGCAATGCAAATCCATCTTGGAATGATGAACACTTTTAAACTTCTTAGGTGTCTTCTCCAGTGGAAAAGGACCAAACCATAATGTGCTGAAGACAATGTTGCTGACCATTAGTTCTTGGCTATTGTCAAGGCTCCATTACAAAAATGTATCTTAAATTACCACCCTCCCAAAAAAAAAGAAAAATCATAAAAAAAAACCACATCCTGAGGACTCAGAGAAATTCCCACATCCATCAAACGATGCATTCTCTATGAGCACGACTGCAAACGTGTTCATGCAGAGAGCTCATCCCCTCTGTTTATATGTGCAGAGTACACGTTCTCACACACTTACACTCCCAGCCCCCTATGCTTTCGCATTTTATAAACATGAAGAGAAACGCTGCACACAGTTCAATTTAAGTATACATTGGGCTCATCAGGATGAAGCGCTGCTATACTGACTGAAATCTCCCAGAGGGACCATTTAGTTTTGTGCGGTTTGCCCGCTTGACTGTCAAAAAGGAATCAATTTACATATAACTCCTCTGCAGGGGAGCTATACGTTCTTTGAATTCACTGAACAGTTAAAGATTGCTGTTTTTTTTCTGAATTTAAAAGAGGAAGCATAAAGAAAGGGATAGAAAAAGACCAGTTGATCAGGTTCAGGTTTGACAGGGTCCCTATTTACCTACTGATGAACAACACAAAGCGGCAAATGAACCATAACGTCTTTGAGTTACATCATCAAAGCTGAATCATTAAGTCCTTCTATCTAAGCCTTCAAAGGGGAAGATAAAAAAAGAAAACAAATGTCATTAAACTTAGAGAAATATTAAATAAAAAGACCTTCATCTAATCATAAACAGGATTAATCCGGGAACCAAAACAACATTTGCACATGTTCTTTTCAGGCTCATTAAGTGCTAAACACCTAGTTAGGCTATCAAAAAGGTCAGATTAAACAAACCGGCAAGTCTGCAGTGCTCCTTTCGAGACAGCAGCTCCCTGCAGGAGAGGACGCTATACTTCACTTTCTATGAGCCTTAACCTACTGGGTGGCAGTAAAACCCAGTTCAAGTTTTCAGTACAAATTTTAAGGTATTATGGGTACATTTCAACTGTGAAGAGGTCATTTTCAGGTGAAGCTGATTTAAGGAGAAACAGCCCAACAATTTGATGCTACCACCACCATGTTTGGCCATCAGTTCAGCATTTTGTTCTGGTTTTCTGGCTGTGATTCATTTCTTAATCAAAGTCCCTAGAATTCCATCAGAGTTACGATTGGATCTTTTGCAGTAACATAATGCTAGCAGGCATGCCATTTATGTTTACAAAGTCCAAAGCGAGTTTTCTTATCCAAAGAATGCTGTACCAACTGTAAAGGATGGTGGTGGCAGCATCATACTGTGGGACTGTTTAAACATCACAGCATATTGTCAAAACTTTCCATTTGCTTGAATTTGCCTCACATCTACATTTAAATAGTTGAAACAGGGTCACAACTGGGTTCTCCATTCAAACATTGATCCCAGGATAATAAAATCAAAAAATCCTCCCTGGAGTGTAACCTACTTCAACACAAAACATATTTTAAAATCAGAATGAGCTTTATTTGACAAGGAATTTAACTTGAGTTTAAACTGCTCATAGCATACGGCTATTAGCTACACACCTGTAAGCAATATGTATGTTTTTTTTTTGTTTTTTTTTATAGGCTATGCTTAAAAAACAATAACCCAGCCAGGAGATCAATACATATAAATAAACTCATCCATTTCTGCAAAGTAGAGAGGGTTAAAAGTTACAGCCAGAATGATGTCAATCATCTGCCAAAGGTATCAAAAACTAATGCTGGCTAAGGACCAATTAACGAAATGATGCAAGGGTTGAAGAAATGTAAAATAATCATCATCTTCTTGCCCAAATCCAAATAATTCCAGTTTTTGGTTGAATAATCAAGTGATCCCCAAAAAGAGCTGTTTAAATCAATAGTTAGAAATGTGAAATATCCACTGATAACTAAAAGTAAACCTCCCACCAGAACAGAATGCCTCATTTTTGACTTCCACAAAACTAATGCTGTCTCTTCATCTTCTGTACTCTGTCCTTTTCTCCATCTCCTCAAACCCCCAGCGTGTGTTTTAAAGTGTTTGAACAAACCCTTTTAAAAGCAGAAGATTCAAAATGATATGAAATCATCACTCCAATCGTTCCTTTGGGTTTTTTTAAACCATCTCAGACAAAATGAGCTTTATTTATTCTTTAGAGTCTGCATTTTTACCACAAGTCCACCAGCATCATCTTTTTGTAATCATTATCACCATATTATACAAAATAGCACAATACTGTTTCCATAAAAAACAAAAATAGACAAATACTCAGACAAATCATTTAGTACAACATACAAATTCAATACATATCCATAACTTCACTATGTTTGCCTCTTTAAAAAAGGCAGATACAATAAAAAATATGATCTTACTGTGGTTTTCTCTGTGATCTCCATCTTTTTGTTAAAGCTGCGATGGGTGGAGGCATTGAAAGGGAAGATTCTGCACATAAACACCTTCCTGAGTGATCACACACTGCAGGTTCATGCACAATGGGCATACTGTTTTACAATGAATGCACTATATATTAGATACACAGATACCAAGCTGGAGTCATACGTATCTCCTGGTGTCCCTCTTGCACAGTATCTTTTTGAAGGACCTCCTGAAGTCATTGTTGAAAACGGTGTAAATCAGAGGGTTCAAGGCACTGTTGCAGTAGCCGAACCAGAAGAAGAACTTGAACAAGGTGGAAGGCACGTTGCAGGACACGCAGAGAGTCTGCAGCATATACGTAAAGAAAAAGGGAAACCAACAAATGACAAAGACACCAATGACCACAGCCAGGACGAAGGTGAACCGTTTCTCACGGTTTTGCCGGCCTTTCCAGAGGCTGCCTTTGGTGTTCGGTTCTTGCTTTTGGACGTTGGAGTCCCCTGGTTTGATTTGTCTTAATTTTGGTTTCCCCTTGTTTGTTTTCTTTCTAATGGAGCATGGATTGTTCACTTTATGGTCAGAAGAGGATGACTCCTCAAGGTCCACTCCATTGACCTCACCTTTGACCTCCTCTGCCTTCTTTTGTCCTCCCGCTCCCTCCTGCAGCTCTATGGCTTGCTCACCATTTAACTTCTTGTGACAGAGCCGATCCTTGACATCCCCTGCACCATTCTCCTTCTGGTTTGCAACAGGAGTGCTGGGTGGCTTCAACAAAGCATTTGGCCTCCGGTCTCCAGGTGGCGCCCGTGTCCTTTTTTTAGCAATTTGGTAGATCCGTACGTAGACCAGCACCATGATGACGCACGGAAGGAAGAAGGAGCCGATGCAGGAGGAGATAACGTACCATTTTTCTGTATTAATCTTACATGCAGGGAATTTCTCACTGTTGTCTTTTCCCATGGTGATCAGGGGTGGGAAGGAGATAACTGCAGCGATGACCCAAACAATGAAGATGATACACTTAATGCGGCGTGGCGTCCTCTTCAGGTTGTACTCAATGGCCTGTGTGATGGACCAGTATCGGTCTAAGCTGATCGCACAAAGATGGGCAATGGAGGCGGTGCAGAAGAGCACATCAAGTGCTAGGTAAATCTCACACCATACCTCGCCGAAGTACCAGTATCCCATTAGTTCGTTTGCCAAGGAGAAGGGCATCACAAGGGTGGCCACCAGAATGTCCGCAGAGGCCAGGGACACCAAGAATAAGTTCTGCGGGGCTCTCAAGGCCCGGCTTGTAAACACAGCAATGACCACCAGGACATTACCAAACACTATGATTAGGATCATGAAGCCAACCAGCAGGCTTAATGGCAGAGCTATCTGTAGGCTGTAAGGAGCCAAGCTGGAGAAGTTCTGGAAGGTGTTATTGTCATCTTCCATGATAGCAGATTGGCCCACTTCCTGTGAGAGTTCACCTGAGGTTAACAGATATCATCCGCCAGGAAGAAGAGAACTAGTGGCTCACAGCAGAGCTAAGAGAGGAAGAGACTGAATAACTCCTCTGAGACTTTCCCGGATTTTTCCTCCTCATTGTGAGGGATATTTTTCAAGATGCCGCTTTATCTGAAAACATAATAAAAAGGAAAACAAATTCATCAATTTCTAATTAAAAATTCCTCATCTTTTTCAGCAGGGCTTCTAATATGTTGATCTCAGTTGGTATGTTGGCACCTTTTGCGTGCGTAAAATGGAGGTAAATCTAAAGATAAAGAGTTTTTACCTTGGATAAGGAAGGAGGAAGGCGCCTCTCCAGTGCCAGGGCACTAAAACACTGCGGACGGGTAACTTCTTCAGGCAAATCAAGAGAAGGTAAAGAAGATCCATGAGGCGGACGGAGCGTTTCCACTGAGCCTCCTCTCTCTCCCCTCGCAGTGCTTCCTGCGCTGCATCTAGTTGCGCTCAGCAGCGGACCTAATAGAGCGCTAATCACGTTATCCCGGGCGCTGCCGTGTTACTGTCTGCGTGTGGAGTTTCTCTCCTCACTGTTCACCAGAGCGCCACTCCCTCTTCTTATAGCCCGCACGCTGCAAAAAGTGTCCCGCTCGCCGGGTCCCCGTGCGCGCGTGCGTCCGCAGGAGTGTCAACACTGGCACGCTGCCCCTTCTTGTTTGTCTGACAACAGGCGCATCAGCTGGAGAGGCGTTTTAAATGACAGGAGAGGAGGTCATATTACTATTAAAGAAAGCCTTTAAACACGTGGATATGTAGAAACTAAACACATTAAGATAGATCAAAAATAAATTTAAACCAATTAAACGCGGCAAAGAAATCTTAAGACACTTATATAAACTTTATCTATCAGATACATCAGCCTATAATAAATAGAATTAATATTCCAGCTTTTCATATCTTTGAAATGAACTAAAATTTAAAAACACAAAAGCGTTTTAATATGCCTCACATTTACCTAGATGTCTCAGAAAAAAAGTATAAAGCTATTAAACATTTGATATGTAAATAAATAATAAAAATGCATCATGATCATTTCATCCTGAAGAGGTAAACCACATCACTAGAATGTATTTTCATAAATATTCCCTTTCAAAAGTGTGTATGTGACATAAAAGCTGTTTCACAACAAGCAGTTGATTCAGTAAGAAGTTAGAAATATTATTTACTGTAATTAGATATTAAAATAAATAAAAGCAAGAGCTTTAAATACCAAAATAATAATTAAAAATGAACTGAACCTGTTTTATAAGGCAGGCATTTTGTTGTAATGCAGCTGGAGCTTAACTACTCTGTTACTAAGCAGCAGCCAGAGCTACACCACTTGAACATCAGCACAGGTTCAATTCTATTTTTAATGCTTTATCAATCCTAAAAGAAAGCCAAATATCCAGATGTATGCATCATTGTATCAATGGAGAAAAAAAAAAAGAAAAACATGAACACCCCTGACAGTGTGACTATACACTAATATGGGGAATATTGAAGATGCTCATTTGTTCTCAGTCTGCAAGGATGTATTGCAAGAAAAAAAAATACAGAAATACTTTGTGTCATCATGCATTATCCTAAAGATACATATTAGGATTTAAAAAATAAAAAACACCGCAAAATAAAATCAAGTTACACAGAATGTGAAATAATAAACTGCTCCTTGTTTCCATATCCTGCTGGTTCTTTCACTCAGAGGCAACAGCAGTAATATTTACATACCACCACATTATGCAGAAGAGCCTGAGGTCACCTTTCTGCAATCATGGACATAACATCCAAATATTTTAAGCATTTAATGTCACTATTTTGTAGCTTCTGATACATTTTCAAATAGCTGACGTGATGGTTGAAGTGTGAAATATATATGTTTATTTTTGTTAGACAGCTACATGATCAAATAGACCTGTAAAAGAAATGTCTTAGGGTTCATTTTGTGATTAAAATAAAGATTTAATAGGTGATCGGTAACATCTAGGAAGATGTGATAAATGTGTGTTGATTTCTTTCTCTTTTTTTTCTATTAAGTCCACTCTGAGGAAAGACAAGCTGATCTAGTGCGGTTGCTGTTCCATGTCACGGTGTCCTAAAAACTGGAACCCATTTTTTACCAGGAAAATTCTGCGGTGTTGCATTTCTCCTCCAGAGTTTGAATAACTCCTGCAGGGAGGACATGAAGAAGACTAAGTGTGAAGGCAGGGTGTAAGCACTGCATGTCTCAGACAGATTGGGCGTGTGCTGTGTGGAAATGCTGCCAGTCTCTCACCATTTCTGTTGCCATCCTTCTAAAGGTCTGCAAATACCATGGGGGTAAGTGGGACTTCATATGTTTATATTGATTAAGCCATATTCAGATGGTCCAAAAAGAAATACAAATGTCATAGGATTACAATGCAACATGTTCTAGTGCAGGGTCTTATTTATTTAAGGCTTTCATATGTTATCTTTAGTTGTTGCAATGCGTACAATAATGAAACCCCACCAGCGACTTTATTAGGCATGCACTGTTAGTTCTGTTAGTCTTTTTTTTGCCCTCAGAACTGCTTTAAACTGGCCTAGTCACTTTACCTTGCTAATAAAACAACAAAAAACATATGTTCATGTTAAGATAGAACAATATAGAACAATCACTAGTTCTGAAAATGTTAACTAAGTCATTTTTAACCTAAACAGAGTTTTTGCAGCAAACAACCAGTGGACATAAACTTTATTGCACCCTGTTGCCTTCTATTAGCAATAATGACTCACACTTCAGCAGCCTTACCTTTCACTTCAACAAACTCCAACATTCATATTTCATTCCAAACGCTACTCATGTCTTATCCCTCTTGGAATTCAATATTATATTGAGTTTATTTTTCTTTTGCACTTGACCTTCGACTTTTCCTCTTTCTTTTTATACCTATGTTGGGAGTTGCTTTGATCCATTACTTCCTTGTTTCCTTATAGCACAAATACACAATTTTGTTGCTCCGATCACTGGGTCTTGTTATGGTGAATACTCAAAACTCTGAAGTAGAACAAAGTGAAAACCACAGAAAATGTAATATATGAAGCCATTAGGATGCCATAACTGATTCAGAAACCTTGTGTATGCAACCAGAACAAGCTACTGTCTTAGACATTTCTAAAGCCATATTACATCCCTGGGCCCCTTTAACTCTTCACAGCATAACTGCAATAAGGTCTAAGAAACATTTCCCTGAGATTTTGGACCATATTGACAGGTAGTTTTATGCACAGTTTGCAGACTTGTCAGCTGTTACAGCAGTCTAGCACTCAGAAATTCTCTGAGTGCGAAGGGGAAGACTGACTAATTTAATTTCACAAGTGGAGCATTACTGCTTTTTGTTATAGGGCTCCGACTGAGATATGAACTTTATTAGAATTGCTTGTGGATTATTCTAAATGCATTAAACAGTAGATGGAAGTGAAGGGAAAATGTAAACAAAAAGGGGAAGAGGTGAGATAAAAAGTTAAAAGGGAGAAATAAACATAGGAAAGAAAAAAGATAAGAATCTGAGATAACCCTATGAATTTTCTCATACAGCTGCAGAAAGAGAGAAATCAAAAGAAAGAAATACGGGGGGAAACAACAAATGCATGAACAACAATAACAATTTCACTTACAAGTACATGCTACTAATTAACATTAGCTGTACTTCATTATGTAGAGTTAATCTGTAAGCGCTTGGATTCAAACACCTGTGGTTAAACGTGTGTGCTAAATCGTGTTTCCACAATTTCTCTACTTGTCTTCAGTGAAGTAGTCAAATTTATTCTTTAACGTTATTTAGATATTGGCCGTTGTCTCCTGTCTGCCAGATAAACATGTTTAAGCGTTGATTAGATTTGTCCAATCTAATTTCTTTATGATAAATTTCTCTGTTGTGTATGGTTCTATATCTGCCAGCCACTCTAAGGAGTGGAAAAGAGTATCCCGATCTGAATCTAACAGAGCACCTCTAGATGAAGCAAAAGATTGGGGTGATGGTAAAGACGCCTACCAGCCTTATAAACTTCATCAGCATAATTAAGCATGAAACTATATGTGGCACCATGACAATGAATTTACTTACTATATAAGGGTATCCATTGTAGAAGGGTGCTTAAATGCCAATAAACATATTTCCTTTAAATATTGAAAAATAAAATAAACTGTGATGTAAAATTTTATCAAAATGTAAATAGATTATTGAAAAATTTCAACTGATATCATTTTACGTCTTTATTTTAAGAGGTTTGTGTCTCATTTTAACTCCATAAATTATTAAAAATAAATATTAAATCAAATATTTGACTGAAATAAAAATAAATACAAATCAGCTATGTGCAAAATAACTGTAAACTTTACTCCAAGTCTTCAAACGTGCCAAAACTTTCCCCCAAAATTGCTAAAGTAGTGTGCCATAAGTCCACTAATCATTTATATTTAATTTAATGTGATAATGAGCATCTAAAGCGTGCAAAATGCTCTCGACATTATTAATTTAGGACTGTCATCTCCAATGTCACCTCAATGTTTGGATATCTGCTTCAAGTTTTAAGCGCCTTTTTGGCGGTGTGACGTGATGCACACCTGTTCCCACGGAAACTGAAAGGTTTTACGCACCGACCCTGCTCACCCCTCCCACAGCAGCAGCGATAAGTGACTAGAAGGCCCTCTAGCTGAAAACACAGCTTTAATGGATTATTAGAAATTCAGCCGCCTCTCTGATGAACCGCTGCTGCAGATAGGATTTCACAGACGGCTTTTAGCTGGAGCGCTGAATATTCAGATCGCCCACTTCCATTAAAACCAGGGGGGAGAAAATGGAGACAGAGATCATGTCAGGCTGATGCATCCCAGGATGGTTCTCTGTGTTCAGGAGCCGGTGTGGCAGACTGTTTGTGGACAAACAGCCACGCGTCGAGACGCTGGTGGATGCGTGGGGGCGCGCGCGAAGCGCATGGATACAGTGACACCTGTCGTCTCCAACCAGAGCCGCTGAGCTGCGGCTGCAGGAGCCCGGCAGAGAAAAAGCAAACCTACAGACGGATGAAGTGGAGCCCTGAAGCTGTACAAACTGAGCACAGATCAGAAACACTATTTATTCAAATTATAAACATACTATAGATTAAATTTAACCTGTTTATTCATGCAGATTAATGGGGAAAAGAAAAGGAACAACGTTTTTTCTGGCTAATATATATATAAAAAATTTAAAAAATCATCCTGCAAACTTCCAGAAAATGTGTAGACCAGCAGGGGGCGCTCTTTATCTGATGTCAGAGGAGCTCCATTGACAGTGGAAAAAACTGATTGTCATGAAAAAGTAAAATTTTTCAGAAAGTGAGAAATATATGAGGCATATAAAGATATTTGAAGTCTTTATTTCTTATAATTGTGTTGATTATGCCTTTAAGATAAGGAAATTAACAACATTGTCTCAGAAAACTTAAATATGAAATATTCAATACAATTGATTTAAAAAGATGATATTCTTAAAGAAATGTAGTTCTAAAAGGTTCATTTCTATGTGCTGTTAATATGTGGTTTG